GGGCTGTGTAAGAGCTAATTTTAACCTGTGATACCAACCAGGTGTTGATCAATCCCTGTGTGCTCTCACTCTCAAGTTTCAGCAGGTCTCAGGCTGAGCTGGATCCCAGTGCTGTTTCCACCCCTGTGACCATGACTGTCCAATATCAGCTATCTGGCTTTCTATTTGTTAAATATTTTGCCCATGCAGTAACCCAGCTGTTTCCTTTTTGTTCCCCATGGTCGACTGTCCAATGTCAGCTATCTCCACCTGGCTTTCTATTTGTTAAATATCTTGCCCATGCAGTAACCCAGCTGTTTCCTTTTTGTTCCCCATGGTTTTCTGGAGAAGAGCACAATGGGGCGCTGAGAGGGCCATTCCAGGCTGTGTGTGAGGGTCCCTAGGACAGCATGAGGGGAGGGCCTGGAGCTCAGACATCCCCTCGTAGCTCCTGGTGGGATGGTTTGCTCCCAGCTCGTAGAGAATCAGTCACATCCCATGTTCTGCAGGTCCAGTTCCCTTTCCAGCAGTGATTCCCTGTGACAGTGCCATTGGAACTGGCTGACAGCACCATCCAATCCTCTCTCCAACCCTCAGACCACACCTGGAATCCCAAATGCTGTGGGAAACAAAAGAATTAACTCAAAGTCTGGGGTTTGGGTCATCTTTCTGTGTGTCATCTTTCCTCTGCATTTGCTTCAAAGACTCCTCATCGTTCCTGAAAGGACCAGGCAAGCCAGCATAGATCCCTTCATCCCTCAGAGATGCTCAGCTGCATCTGGGTGAGCCCTCCCAGAAAACTGCACAGAAGTTGGGACAACTCAAGAGCATTCCTGGTAGCTGAGTCTAGGCAGGGAATCCACCCTGTCAGAACAGACTTATCCAAGTGGAAATGTGACCCACACAGTACGTGAACCTTCTTACCCTTGCAGAAGCTGGTTTTTTAAAATCAGCCCTGTACAATTTGGTTTCATGCTTCAGCAGGAGGAAGCCATCACTTTCTGACAGGCAGCAGTTCTGATTCTGGAGTTTCCCTGATAACTGGAGCTTCTCTTCCCAAGTGAAGAATTAAAATTGCAGAGCCAGTTTCCTGCAGCACCCTGCTGCTTCCTGATGTCTCCAAGTGCAGCACTGATCTGAACTAACCAGTTTAGTATGGGCTGGGGGTTTGGCTCAGGGCACAAGAGGCCACAGAGGTGGAGCCCTGACAGTGATCAATGGCCCCTGGGAGAGGAGGATGTTCAGGCATCTCCTGAGGAGCATTTGATGAGTAACTGGAGCCTCAGGACCACTGTCTGAGCTGCATCATGTTCAATATAGTTCCTGTTGTTCATGTGCTCTATGCACTGGTCCTTTTGGGTGGCTTTTCTTCTGAAGAACATGTTCTCTTGACATCACCCTGTGTCCCCATAAGGAAGGACCTTATATATGTATATATAGGAGTTCATACACCTTGGTATTTGATCTATTCCGAAGGTCAAATTCAGACTTGTCAGTCACTGCAAGTCAGTAAAAACCTCCAGTCTTTCAGGCTGAAAAGTTTGACAGATTCAGAATTGGGTCTTTTTAATTATGTCAGACTCCTAAAGTAATCCAATGCCTATCCCCAGCAGTTTAACTTGACAGTAACAATGAACAACCAAGCTAAACAGCCTCTGCAAATTCTTGTAGACCAGGAAGGACCACCCTGGCTTTCAGAGGGATCCTGTGCTAAGCCACTCCTTTCCCTGTCCCCTTTGTATGCCAGCAAGGTGGCCACCAAAGGCAATGCAGAAGTGTCACATTTCACAGTGCCATGGCCAGTTTGGGCTGGGAAATGGTGTGCACTTCCAGGCTGTGGTGCTCAGCCACTCCAAGGAGTCCTGCTTTATGGAAGAGAGTGTTTCCCAAGGATGTAGTTGATTTTTCACAAGCAAGTTTGTGCACTGGCCAGGAGTGCTGACAGCTCAATGTTCAGCTGCAGTATATAATTTTCTGTCATTTTGATTTATGCTCTTCTCTGCAACCAGAGTCCCATATGAGAAAAAAAAAATCAGAAGGAGTCTGTCCTAAAGTTAGCTCAATGCTAACTTCTTCAACTGACCTAGCTAACTAAAGATATTTTTAGATTTTTTATTATTATTATTATTTATTTCTGGAATATGAAGGAAGAAGGTGTTAAAAGGTAACCTTCACTGCCAGTTGTGTGACCTGCAGTTGCTGTGGGGTTGTTGTCACTGAGAGAAGCTGAGCTGGACCTGTGAGACCGAGATCTGCTCTGGCTGAAGCTTCCACCTGCACCCAGACCTTGTCCAGGGAGGCTCTGACCCATCAAAGCAGTGGCCAGGACATCAGGGCAGAGCTCCAGAGCACTGCTTCACCTCAGGGCCTCTTAAAACTCCCAGTGGCTGGTGTTTCTCTTAGGGAAAAGCCCAAATTCCCCAGAGAAGAGGCTGGTGTAGTGCCATGGTCTCTGCTCCCTCTGGACAACAGAATAAAGGCTCGTCCTCCAGCATTTGGGTTTGCCCAGAGGTTTTATGGCACAGCTCTCTCTTTTGCCTCACTTCTGGCACCCAGACTTGGGCTCCTGAGTTGTTTTGCTGCATTTGGAGCTTTGTTTCTTGGCATTAGAGTTTGGGGGTTATTGCTTGCAGTTCCCTTTCCTTGGATGCTTCAAGAGCAGCCCCGAGCCAGAGGGGGGAGCAAACCCATCCCTTGGCTGTTTTTGTGAGCCACAAAATGCCTGTGAGACAAAGGAAGGGGCCACATGAAACAGGAATTGTGGTGGCACTGACAGGGACAAAAGCCCCATGCACAGCCCTAGGAAAAGGCAAGAGAGCAGGGAAGTGTGTTTATTCCAGCTCTCTGCTTTCCTGCAGAGTTCAGACAACTTTATTTATTGTGTTTTAATATTAACTTCAGTGGAGCCAGGAGTGTGATGTGATCCCATGGTATTTGGGCAAAGGAATAAAAATACCTTATTTCATATATATATATATATATATATGTGTGTGTTTATATATATATATTTATATATACATACACACACCCCCTTTTCACAGGACACATGAAGTGTGTACAGGACTTTTCCTTGATGACTGGCATTTAGCAGCTGAGTTACAGATGGATTTCTGTGTAGTCAGCACAGATATTAATCACAAAATCCTTTTAATAGATCAAAGAGTGCTGTGTAATTGAAAATTTCTTGCAGAAGCATTCGTTTCAAGCTTCTCCTTGAAAATTTTCTCCTCCTAATGTGTAATCTAGGAAAGGAACACTTTCCAGGGTGTAAAATGCAAAGAGAAGTTTTGTTCATTGCTTTATTTAGTTCTCCACTCAAATTAAGGATTAGTGACAAGAAATTGATATTTTACTGTATGCCCAAAGTTATTTTTGTGTTCATCAAAGCCACTTGGTTAAATCAGGAGTGAGCAATAATTACCACTGAAGGGATAGATACACACTGGGTTTTTACTTGCTTTATGTGTGAAGGTTTTTCTCCATCATCAAACTCCTTTTCAGTTGAGAAAAACCTTAAAAAAATCATTAATTATTATTCTCATTGCTCCCTAGCCCTGTAACCAGATGGAATTGGGATATTTAAAGAAAAACCCATCCACCCTTTAAATAAGATGCAGAGTGTGTTTCCTGGAGCCTGGTGCTGGGCATGGCTTTGCAGGTGACACAAGGAAAGGTGAATATCAGCAGAAAATACAAAAAATATTTTATTTTTCCTAGTTCATAGCCCAACTTTGCAGCAAGCAGAGCCTCAAGCACACAGTGTGGACTTCCAAAAGAGGCCATGCCTTTGTGAGGAGCTCGTGGGCTGAGAAAGGAGCAGGAAGGAAACAGCCCTGGGGAGCTTCAGAGCTGGGACAGAAGAAATGATTTGGTGCTTGTACAGACAAGTGCTCACCAAATCCTGCACATCATTAATAATAGTAATAATAATCATCTCTCTGCCTCCCCTGCATCCGGTGGGAAATGCATCTTCTCCACGGAGAGGCTGTGCTAAATAAAGGTTTGCCCTTCCCAGGGAGCAGGAGAGGTGGGAGGTGGACATTTGGGCTCCCATCTCTCTCCCAAAGGAAGGTCATTAAGCGTATAAAATACATATGTTTTCCCTTCAGCAGCTGTTGGGTTTCTCAGCCCAAGAGCCATAACAGGACCATGAGGTTTGGAGAATTTCTGCCTCCCACATCTGCCCCCCTCCCCACCAGCAGCACTGCTAAATCAGCAGAATGGGATTGTGCAGCTGTGCCTCGTTAGGCCAGTGCTGCTAATTAAGTATTGGCAAAAAATGGCTTCAAGTCACTCTGCTTTGGGGTGGTGGCTTGGTGGAAGGTGAGACTGAGCCTTCTTCTGGTGGTGTTTCAAACCACCACTGGTGGGTTTGCAAGAGGTGGTGGTCCTGCAAAATTAACCTTGGCAGAACCTTCCTTTTCACTGCAGTGGTGTGACGACTTTCTGTGTCTCTAGGTTGAAAGGGAATAGTTTTTTTTCTCTACCCATTTCTAGATAAAAACTGTGGGAGAATAATTATTTGTAATTTTGTAGGCTCCAAGGCTTGCAGTGAGGTGTCCTTACAGTGATCCCTGCCTGGTGCTGCTATTGCCTGGATGAAGAAGTGCCATGTAAAATGTTGACTTGGATTAGTTAATTAACTAATTGGAAATTCTCTTCCAATTGAGGTTTTGCAAAGTTTTGCTGAGCTCATTTGCACAAAGGGCACAGGATCCACCTGGGCATGTGGGAAAAATCTGGGTGTGGGAGAGAGAAAGGGGAAAAACAAACAGAAGAGGGAGGAATGTGAGTCAGGAATGGTGTGGCAGCAGGAGCAGGGAGGTCACTCTGCCCCTGTCCCTGCACTACTGGGGTCACACCTGGAATGCTGTGCCCAGCTCTGGCCCGTCAGCTTGGGAAGGACCTTGGGACACTGCCACTGGTGCTGCCAGGGCTCTGTGGGCAGCAGGATGACCAGGGACATGGGGGCTGTTTGGGATCCTGCCCTTGCTCAGCTGTGCCCCTCTGTCTCCTTCCAGGCCGTCCGATGAAAACCACCCCGAGGTGAAGCCTGATGCCTACGTGAACAACCTAGCTGAGGCTGTGGACATCATCCTCCAGGAGATGTAAATCCCAGCAGGAGCTGTAAATCCAGCAGGAGCAGGGATGAGCCCTCACGTGCAGCCCCTCCACGGAACCACTTCATCCTCTCCCACCTCCATCTCACCTGAATGAACCCAGCCCAGCCTTGTGGTGCAGGGTGGTGGGCACCTGCCTTCCGAAATATTTCACATAATGGTACTAAAATGATCTACTGACCTCCCATGCAAGGGAGCACCAAACCTGCTGTCCTCTGGCAAGTCCTGAATGCCCTGCCCTTGGTGCCTGTGAGGGGCCTCAGCCTCCTCTGGGTGATGCTGGGGGGCTGTTCCCCCTTTTCATCTTTGCTCACACTGGGAAGACGGAAAACAGGGAACCCAGGCACCTCCTCATGAATGGATTTACCTGTTTAACCCCCATGTCCTGTGCCTTTTGGGATGGGAATGTCCTTTGGGGGCTGATGGAGGCCACCAAGCTCCTGTGTGTGCCTCGGGTGGCACAGAAGCCCTGGGGAGGGGACAGCCCCACGTGCCTTGGCATGGCAGGAGCTGTGGTTCTGCCAGGACCAGCCCGTCTGGAGCAGCCCCAGGAGGGGGCACAGGAATCAGTAACACATCAGGGAATAACTGCACCATCCTGTCAGGAATAAACCCTGTCCTTTGGATCTGGCCTGTTTGTCGGTGTGTTCAGTTGGATCAGCACTGGCAGGGATATTTACAGGACTTGAAATGTCCATAAATACAGGACTGGAAAAGGCCATGGGACTGATGGTCTTTGCCTTCCCTCTGTGGGGGGTCTTCTAGGCAGCCTGTGTGGGAGGGGCTGTGGGATTCCTGCCCCTCCCCATTAAAATCCTGGATGTGCAGTCCCTGAGCTGCCAGCGCTGAGTCAGACACAGCTCCAGCTGAAAATGGACTTTGCACAAGGGCATGTAGTGATAGAACAAGGGGGAATAGCTTCAAAAGGGTGGGTTTAGATTGGATTTCGGGAAGAAATTCCTCCCTGTGAGGGTGGGGAGACCCTGGCACAGGGTGCCCAGAGAAGCTGTGGCTACTTCATTCCTGGAAGTGTCCAAGGCCAGGTTGGATGGGGCTGGGAGCAACCTGGGATAGTGGAAAGTGTCTCTGCCCATGGCAGGGGTAGAGTAGGATGAGCTTTAAGGTACCTTCCAGCCCAAACCATTGTGGGATTCTGGAATTCTGTACTCATTCCCTGGGTCTGATCCTGCCCCACATGCCTGCTGAGAATCTGCTGCACCAGCTCAGCTCCAGCTCAGCCCCTTCCTGCTGCCAAGAGTGCTCAGCACATCCAGGGCCAGGACAGGCATGAGATTTGCCTTTTTTTGCTGATCAGAATAAGGATTTCTAAGAGGAGCTGCTCCCTGCCTCCAGGCACAGCAGCCCTTCCCTGGGGATTTTGGTTTCTCCCCCTGTCAGTTTTGCAGTGCAGCTGTTGCAGCATGTGTGGTAACACCTGGCCATGCTGCACCTGGCAAGAGCATGGAAGGGGCTCAAAATGGGTCCAAAAATTACAAGATCAGGGGTTGTTCCATCAAGTCCTCTGCCCACCCTTGCTGACACGTGGTAGTGTTTGCAAGGGTCACCTTTTAGTGGCAAAAGTCACCTTTTAATCAATACATCAGCAGCTCTGTGCCCTCTTGGGCTTTGAGCAAGACTATTTGAGCTTTAACCTACTTCAGATCTCCAGGGAACCATGGAAATAATGTAATTATGTTTGTGTTACATATTTTTAATATATATCCATACTCTCAGGCAGCATGTGCTGGCCACTGTCTACATTCAGCCACTGCTCTCTGCTTCTGCAAGCAGGAGGTAAAGAATAATTCCAGCTCTGTTTCCAGCAGTCCCAACAGCTGAAGATGACCCCACTCACTGAAGGACACCAAAATGATGCTCACTGTTTCTGGAGTGTTGGAACACTTGTTTTTCAGAGCTACCAGCTGGCCCTGGAGTTGCATAGGCCCCCTTGGGGACAGCAGGGGAAAGGGGGCTGGGAATTAAGTTCTAATAAAATAAACTACATCTGGGAAAATGACCTTAGTGCAATTTTTTTTGGTCTGTTTTTGCATCTTCTATCCTCTGGGTAGTGGTTCAGCCAAAGTGTATGGTACTGTCAGCATCCACACACATTGAAGGATGCTGTAAACCCTGGTCAAACGTTCAGGCTGTGATGGATCACTGAGTATTTCTTTTTTAACCCCTAATTCTTCCCTTTTTTTCTATTATACTAAGCCTATCACTTCAATCTGATTAAGTTTAGGCAGATAAACATCCTGCCATCTGTCATGAAACTTTTTACACTGCCTGCTGGAGGAAGTGCAGCTGTTTTCCTTTTTGGGTTGCAAAGGCTGCAGGGAGATACTGCCCTGTTTCCCCAAAAACTTATTTAACACCCCCATGTGCCTTTGGCCTGCTGTGGGCTCTGAGTTTAGGTTTGAGTCTGGATTTTAAGAGGCAGGATATTTATGTTTGTCCTTAAACACAAAGAAGGAGGTGCTACTTGGCACTTCAATTTGCATTTTGTTGTTTACATCTTTGGCTGTGTTACAGCTAAACGACAGGCTGGGGGGCAGGCATGGGAGATGTCCCCCTGCCATGGGGAGGGTGCAGCATGTCTGCCTGCATGTGAATATCATAAAATGTCCATTTTCTTGTGCAACCCATGGCTGGGACACCCTTCCTCCACAGACACCCCAAGGGAGGGTCCTGATTGAAGACCTCCCTGACCCCCACCAATTTTTTGGGACATCCCTTCCCAGCACCTATAGAGATGTCAAGGAGCTGCAGCCAGGAGAGGAGAGGAGGAGTCTCCATCAAACTCCAGCCCCATCAAACTCCAACCAGTGCCACAACCCCAAGGGTCAGCAATGTCCCCAACCCCCCCAGACCCCACAGCCGCGCCCGGCCGCGGGGACGGCACAGAGAGGCGAGACACGGGTTATTGAACCAGGAAGCTTTATTTACACAGTAAAAGTAACAAGCAATTTCCTGAGATTGAGCTGCTCTAGTGCAATCAAGTCATGGAGGGGGCAGGAGCAGCCTCCTGGCCCGCCCGAGGAGGGGACACCTGGGGCAGCCCCTCCTGGGACACGCACGGCCCGCGGCGCTTGTGCAATTGCCAGCGAGACTTGGCTACTACAGGTCATAGCTTCAGAAGGCTTTGTTTTTATTCTTCTTCCCATCTTTCTGTTTTTTGATTTGTTTTGTTTTTTATTTGGCCATCCTCTTCTTTTTCTTTCTCGAACACCGAACCCACACACGCCGCAAAGCACTGCTACAATCCTAGAACATCCTACGTCAGTCTGTTTGCCTGGGCAGCCAGGAGCTTTAAACAATGCACTTGAAACACAATTTTATTGGCCAAACAGGCTATGCTAGCACGTGGAAAAATTACAATCTATTTTACAAACGCTTCTTTTCGTTGGTTTCTCTTTTTTTAATGTACTCTTTCATAGGACAGGCTCAAAGAGCTACATCTGCAAAACACACAGCAAACTCCCGTGTGCCTGCTAAGACTTTCTGTGTTAAAATCCTATTTTTTTCAGGATGAAGAACCTTTATTGCTGCTGCCACAGCTTTGGTGTCATCCCAAAACAGCTGCTGCCCAGACTGGGTCGTCACACCTTGGACAAGCCACTGAGTCCCTTCACAATAAAGAACTTCTTTTAGCTACCTAGCAAGGAATAACATCCCTTGTCTGCATATTACTTTAGTATCACATTCTGGCAGCCGGCAGGGGTTTGCCAGGGGATTTGGGGGGTTCCCAAAACATCTGTGTAATAGGTGAAGTCCTTTACAAACCAAGAGCAAGACCCCCAGGGGATGCCCTGCTCTCCCACTGCGTAGGGGACAGATCTCCTGACACCAGGGGAGCAACGCCACTTCTGACTTTACAATCAACAGGATGTCCCCTGGATCTGAGGCACATACTATATTATATTTAATATTTTTAATTACTTTATTTATATATATATTTATATATATATAAATCCACAAATGTTTTACCTCTACAGAGAGAGAGAAAGAGAGAGAGAGAAAAAAATTTTAAAAGTAAGGCTTTCTTAAACTGAGAATAAGTACATGAAATCATACAAACCCAACAAGAAATACCCAACAGAACACCACTGTGGCCTCAAAACTGTCGCTAACTGTAGTCTGTGCCTACGCCAACGTGCCCAGTATAAGGCCATGACTCATTGGAGAAGCATTTTTAGTAAGGCAAACGGGTTGTGCTGAATGTAAACTGAATGCTACGGCTACGTCCAGGACAGATGGGCCATGGCCCTTTGGCCACCAGGTCCAGGACAGCTGGGCCCTGGTCTGTTGGCCACCTTCCCACTCTGGGGGGTTAGCATGGCACCAGGAGCAGCCCTTGGAAAGAAAACAGAAGCCCTTAGGAATTCCAGCCCTGGGGATGCCCAGGCCAGAGCCCGCCCGGAGCTCTGCGGCGGCCGGACGTGGATTTGGGTGAATTTGCCCTTTGTTGCTCAGCTGAGGAGGTGCCTGTGGCCAGCAGGAGCTGAGTGCTCCGAGACCAGCACGTGTCAGTGGTGGGGAGGGATGGATGGAGCATCAGGAAGACTCAAAGCCAAGAACTTTGCTGTGAGGGTGCCACTGCAAGGGCACAGACAGAGGGGCAGCAGCCAGGGAAAACACGCGTGGCTGGACCCTCCACAAGAGGAGGCATAAAAATTAACCCAGGGTATATTTTTTTTCTAAGTGATGCATAAAGTGACATTTCAAAAGAGCTGGAGCGTTCCCCAGAATTAAAAGACATCCCTGTCATCCCCTCCCCGAATGTCTGGGGCTCGTCCTGCTTGCCTGGAGAGAGTGGACATGGCCACAGCCACCAGCAAAACCTCAGCAGTGCCAGGGTAACAGGGGTAACAACCAATGGGTTCCACTGCGGTGGGAGATGCCACACACATCCCAAACCACTGTGGAAAAAAGTGCACTAACAAAACCAGAAATGATGAATGAAACCTGTACCAGCAGCTCTCAGCCTTTCTGAGTTATGGACCCTCAAGGCATTGCCAGTGGGGCTGCTGGGCCCCATTAAAAATGTCCTGTCTTCAGCTGCTCTTGGTATCTAAGGTTTTTTCCTTTCTCATGTTTGCAAAGCTCGGGAAGTGATCCCTGAGCTAGAAGGAACCAGCAGAAGGAATCCAGAAGATGCTGGAAGCCATTTGTACAGCTTTCCTAGAGCTTTAAACAAACAAACAAATAATAAAAATAAAAAAATAAAAAAAAAGAGGGAGAAAAAAGAAATATGTGTCCTTCTAAACCTGTTAGCAAGTAGACAGCTTATTTTTAGCAAAGAGAATTCATATTGTACAAACATAATGGTCACCACTTTATCTGTGCTTTAAAAAGGCACAGGAAGAGGAAAAGCTTTCAGTGCTGCTACCTGGATTTTCAGCCTTTTGCCAGCTGACTTTGTCAAGTAACCCCTCCACGATGTGCCTCGGGCAGGCAGCCCTTCACAGTAAAGCCAAAATAAAAGGGTGGCAGCCATGCCCTGGGTAGCAAAATGGGCACAGCTGCTGGTAAATGGGTAAACAGCCCAGCCCTGCTCAAAACAGGGTGTTGAGAACCCAAATGAGGGTGGCACAGAGCCTGAGTAGGGTTTTTTTTTCCCCAAAAGAGTT